ACTGTAAATGTCCTGGGATGTCGATACAGGTGCCCTGAAATGCCAAAGTCCTATTTCATAGTAAGCTAGGGAATATAAATTAGGGGCTTTCCAGAATTGTAAATTAGAGGGCGAACTGATGAGACACATTTGAGAAGAATTTAGACATTTTGAAAAACTACAGAGTTCAGTGGCAGCAACACAAGGCTTTTCCCAAGGGAAATCTGGACTCTAAAACCAGAGTGAAAGCTTTACTGAAAAACAAAAAAGTAAATGAAGGAATAGGATGTGTTAAGCAAAAAGGTATTTTATTCTAAAAAATAAAAACTGAATTCTTCAGACACAAGAAAGTGTCTGGCGGAGGCTGTTGACATCCTATCATATATCAAAGAGCATCCCACCATGAAGGAAGGCCATGACATCATGCAGTGGGTGTGGGTCATTTTTTGTATTGGGAGAAAAATAAAACGTAGGAAAAGTTTTGAGGGGAATCTCTTAGTGCCAAAGACCTTAAACTGAAGCAGTGATTTATGTTCCAACACAATAGTGGTCACCAGCATGCAGCCAAATCAACATTTAAATGAGAGACACAGCCAGAGCCTTGACATCTATTGAAAAATAATGCGTCTCCGATTGTTGTTTATTGACTCACCATCCAGCTTGACTGGGAAAGAGAAAAAATTCAACTTAGATTGTGCCAAGCATATACTGACATATAATAGAGTACTTCAAGCTGTCATGACTGCCACATATGTTACTGGATAGTATTTGCTTAGGGTGAAATACATTTCAAATACTACTTCTGCATTTCAATTCCAATCATCCAGAAAAATCCCCAAAGCTCTAATAAATCTTCAATATGTCATTTCTAACACTGTTGGTGCCACGACAGATTTTTTTTGCCGAGAGTAAACAGAAGCGGCACTGCACGTTTACATACAGTCTCAGTGTTCAAACTGCACTCTAACTCTCAACAGTATAGAAAAAACAGCTGTTTAGAAGGCCTCCTTAGTTAAAGAGTAATCAAGAATTTAACATAAAAACAGAAAGTAATCAAACCCTTAAAGTGATTCTCCTTAATAAGAAAGATAATCTCCTCCACTTTAGCTTGATTCTCCTCAGCTCAGTTGGACCCTCAGTGTAATTGCTCTTGTTAATCAAGCCTTAATTTGTTGACGAGATTCATTTGAAAGACTTGTCTTGAAAACACATACAATCTCTCCCAATCTGCCAATGCCAACATCTTGAAATTAAGGGCCGCAAAGTAGAATGAGAGCAGATTAAGTCATTTCAGAGACTGATGTAACCAACGATCGGTGTCAGTCACTGCTTATTATTGGAACTGTGAATAAAAATAGTAACAAACTACAATAATTTCAATAAATTGCACTGGTAATGGTTCAATATTTGTTAGATTATTGTAAATCTTATGGTAAATGGATGGTAAATGGACCTGTACTTGTATAGTGCCTTTCTAGTCTTCCAACCACTCAAAGCACTTTTACACTACGTGAAAAAAACAAGTCTAATAGTCTACCGCCATGCTAGCTGTGAGGCTGTACTTAAGCACAGTGATGCTTTGAGCTATAAGCTGATGTCAACATGTTAACATGAAAATGAAAATGTATTAGCATATTGGTAATATGCTAATGTTTAGCAGGTATACTGTTTGCCATCTTAATTTAACCTGTTAGCATGCTAACATTTACTAATTCTCTCTAAACCCAACCAGTCGAGGCAGACGGCCATCCACCAAGCTCTTCCTTGCCACTGTTGCCAAGTGCTTGCTCATGGTGGGAATTGTTGGGTCTCTGTAAATAATTTAATAAGGAGTAGTGTCTAAACCTGCACTATATGAAAGAAGTGTCCCGAGATAACCTCTATTATTTGGCGGCGTACAAATAACACTGAACTGAATGATGGGACTCTAAGTAGTTTTGCAGGTATTTGGGCATAAACCAAAGTACTGGACAAATTAATATTTTGACCTGATGATGGTGCCAGATAGACAAGCTTATAGTTAGAACTGGTCAGTACTATTACTAATATAGGGGGAAAAAGTCAAGCATGGCTGAAAATATGATATATGTATCAGTTCATAGACTGTGTAAGCATACAGAATCGAGTTTCCAATAAAACTATATATAAAAATAAAAAAAGAACAATTGACACTGGCACACAAACAGGCTAAGTACCTCTATGGGCTGAACAGTCTGAGCATAATTTAAAAGATAAAAGTAATTAGATAATCATACCACACCACACCACCGCTAAAGTCAGCAGCAACAGCCCTTAAAGCTAAGTAAAATCATTTACCTCTCCCCACTACTACTACTGCCAGGCACCAGCTACTATATGTTGTGAAAGTAAGAGCCAGGAGGAAGGTCAGACCTGTGAAATTTGTAGATATCAGTTAGAGTGGATGTTTGCAAAACCAGAATTCTTCAATGACCTGAGCTGCCCCCAACTCACAAAACCACAAGTCATCTACAGGAAAACATACTGGGCTATTTAACCATTTCTATCCTTTGCTGTTTATTCAATTTGGTCAGACACAACAGACTTCTCACCTTCATCCCTAACCTCCTCATATTGCTGACAGACAGTTGTATACAAGGTCAGCCTCGTGGTCAAAGAATTTCTCACTGCAGTGCTGAGTTAGTCCAAACTTCTCAAAAAAACTTTCCCAAAACATCTGGTGAGCCGGCGAGCAGTCAATATCAATTCCCTGTCTTTTCCATGCTTGCCGAGTCGACGGGAACATTGTGTATTGGGGTTGTGTCTGATGCAAGGAAATAGCAATGGCATCTCCTTTACACCTCTCAAACTTTCAATCAAGCAGTGACAAATAGTGACACAAGTTCCCCACAAGCAGCATATACACAGTTTTTGACAATGCAAAAATAAGACATGGATGAATCAATCAATTTAGCTTCTTTCAACTCATATGAATATTCAAGGCTGTTTTGGCAATAACAAATTTCAACCATAAAACTAAAATATTAAAACTAAAATTGAGCACAGAATGATACTCACAGTTTCTCCTTAGATCATTCAAGCACAGAAAACTGCTAGCTTCACTAAATGGCAGTCACTTGGAAGGCTCCTCTCACCCCTAGAAAGCCTTATGCAGCTGAAATGACTCACATCCCCTCTTCCAACCTCTGTCAACCATCATGAGGAGGTAAACATTTCCAAATATGGAGAAAATATGAAGACAGTATTGAGGGCAATATCAGTTTGGTTTGCTTTTAACTTGGAATGCCATAGTCTGTGAGCCAGAGTCAGTCACTCGGCAGAGCCAGTTCTGTGGTGCATACCTTTCACTAGGAATAATAATGATGATTGTAGAGAACTTTTCACAATCGGTTTGGGTTCGGTCTGACCTAAGATGGATAACACTGTGAGCCTGCCCTAGAAGCTGCGTTTTTATGGGTAGATAGTCAAAATGTAGGGAGGAGAAGATGAGATAGCTTGAAACTGTGAATGGGAATATCAATAAATTGCAAAAATGAAGGGAAAGATAGACATATGTCACTTTTTTTCCTTCATCAGGTAACCAGGGCCAGATTAGAAGGTATAGAGAGCCCATTTACTGTGAGAAGCAGTCTTGTCACACAGATTGTCTTCAAGTGATTAAGAATGTATAATTAAAGTCTGATTACTCCCCATGAGTGGCATAGGTCAGCGGAGATCGCGGTAATATTAAGAGCCGTTAAGAGAGAACATTACACCGTCCTGTCGGGGTTGGAATTGTTTTAAAGAGCAATTTGGCTTGAGAGTGCTTGTTTCCTCAAACGGCACAACCCACTTCATATAAATCCCAAAGGAACAGACCGCATTCAGGGGGCTGAAATTCTTAAATGTCCACAGATTCTTTTAAAAATATTTATTTGTTTGCATTTTAAATACAGCCTCTGCTTTTCTCCATAATTCCTAAAGTCAGAAATCTGGTACAATTTTGATCTGCAGCTAAGCTAAATCAGTCTGGACAGTCTAATAAGAATCGATGTAACTCTAATGCAACATTTGTCAGGCACTTGAGAAAACATGAGAAAAATTAGAAGAGACGGCTAAACAGGACCACATGAGAATGTGGCTGCAATGTCAATGCAGAGATTAGAGCCTTAAAAATAATATAAAAGATCTAAAGACTAGAATAAAAGATTTGGCCGTAGCTGTATAATGTGTGCTTTTTACAATAAGCCAAACCAGATTGTATGCAATAAACTCAGCTATGAGCCAGTTGAGATACATAATGACACCACATGCTTTGACTGCACTGGATGCTAAACTGATGCAGCAAAAAAACATGTCATCTTTTTTTTTATTCCATGTTTTATTTACATGTTATTATTTTTCCTTATCAAAATCTGGCACCTACATTACCCACAATGCAACTCGATCACCAGTTGGAAGTGTTTCATGCAGGTAGTGGCTAATGTAGCCTCGAGACACTACCCTCAAGCGGAGATAAGGAGTGGGCTACAGAGGTCTGATAACATCACTCCTTTTAAACTCCACATTCCAGACTTTTTTTTTTTTTTCACTCAAGTGACATCATTTAAGGCAGTTTCTCAGATATTCTGGAGCTCACTCTGGAACCACAAAAGGCTTTATACAACGTTGTTCACATACAGTGCGCAGTAGTACCCTACTTTCCCTGCAGTTTGAAACATGGCCTCAAAAAAGGTGACATTACACCTGCCGTACAAAAGCTCACCAAGACCTCACAGCAATTACAAGTTAATAAGAATTCTTACTGAAAGATATCATGCAAAACAATGATTTACCAACAAGTACTCACATTGGGGACAACAAAACATATTTTGTGATAAATTTGTGATCGTTTCTGAGGGTAACTTGGCTCTGGGTTGCTAAATGATATGTCCATATTCTTGTGCTTTGAACTAGAAGTTAAAACACACAACCTTCCAAACAAAAACGTTCTACTAACACCTGACATTAAAGCACAAGTATGTAAAGTCCAATGCAGCGAAGTACAGCAAAAATGATCTTACCTTTCCTCCTCTCTGGATTTCTGGGATTTCTGGGAGATTGTTGAAGCGATGTCCTTTACTGTATGTTGAAATCTGTTGAGATTGAGAAACAAGAGAGACCTCTGTATTACTCAAATGGATTACATGACTATAATTGTGCTGAGCAGGACCACACCAACATGGTAAGTGGGTTCTGTCAACTCATAGATTTCTTTTTTTTTTTTTTTTCATGACTGTGTCGTTCATCAGTGAAAAGATGAATCACGGGCCGGCTCCTATAAATCCTGTATGAACCTGACCGTAAGTTGTCCATTTAAATTTTAGTCATCTTTCACCAGGCACCTGTCACAGCCCGCTGGAGTAATATTTCAATGCAAAGACACAGTACAGGCAAAACAATGCTGACAAGTGACACTGCAGAAAATATTTCACCACAGTGTAACAATCATTTAGTGAGGAGAAGATCAAAATTAAATCGAATGTGAAATTGTCTCACAAATTTCATAACAACGATCCAGTCATTTGTATATCAAATTAGCAGCACTCATCGAATTATCAACAATATAATTATATACTATATTCTTCTAATATAATATTCACTTACTATTGTAATTCTTAATGAATTTCATTCTTGATATCACTGGTGATAATAGAGAGCATTTCTTTGCTCTCTCAGTACTGAATACAAAAGGCTACCATGTGCAGTTTAAGGATTTAACTTGCAATATTTTGATAACACGTTCATCTATTGATGCTTTTAATTAATACACAGATGCTATAATATGTAAAATGACGTCTGTCATGTCCTGTGACGTCTTTGCTGCTTATTTTCCTAATACACACCCAGTAAACCTATAGCTGAAACATACATACGTTGATAAATTACTTTAACCAATTACTTGGTAATAATCATTGAGCTGACAAGCTGTGTGGTTTAGTTTAGTAGTGAAGTGGGTGGAGTTTTTTTTACTTCGAGATCGATAACATACCTGACTGAGTTTGTGTCCAATAACTATGTCAGTTTATGCTTTGCACAATAACTTACATCAAGTACACTAGCAACAGGAAATTAAGCTTCATTGGTCATGGTAAAAACATAGGACAGCACTCATCTTTGCTCTGAATTTAGTTTTGCCCGGCACCAGTCTCTCAGAGTTTGGAGAGGATGTACAGATACTTCCTCTCTCATTATCTGAAGGCCACAAGTTCTCCCGTAGACCTTGAGGATGGAGCTTTCTGACACAACGACAAAGCCTTTTTAAAAAGGAACAAGATGCATACTATCTAGAGCAATAAACCTGCAAACACACTGCATAAGATTACAGTACTTCCTACTGCTGCACAGCTGAGAGAGCTAATAGGGTAGGCTAGTGGAAGGAGACAAACTGCATGCATAGTCTATACCTTAACTCGAGTCGGAGCCTACAGGTTGATGCTGGAGTGGTGGTGGGGCTTGAAGCGCAGCAGGCAGCAATAGCTTACAGAGCAGCAGCAGCAGCAGCAATACAGATGCAGGGCAACAGCGGCATTGACAGAGCAGAGGGAGAGCTGGGAAATCGTGCAGTTTAAATAGACCGCCAGATTGGAAGGGAGTGCCTGGTTAGTGATTATGGAATAAGGCATGTCATGTGTGTAATCAGCGCAGCTCGAGTTGACTGCCTGAACTAGTTCGCAGGCTTCGCTCCATTTAAGTGTAAAACTCGAGAAAGGAGTCTGAGGAGAGGCAAACTCATGTTAAGTCAGTGCATGTCATTAATTAGACACTTACAAAAAAACCTCACTGAGGAATATGTTTCAGTTGTGAAGGAGTCTTGTGGGAATGATGCAGGCATTGTCCTGTACAAACAATGCCATTGTTCTGTAGGACAATTCCTACAGAACAATTAGAATCCACGTGGATTTAAGTAATAGACAAACAACAGTACTGTTGTGCAAACCAGCCTACTACATGTCACAGCCCTACCTGAGAACACAGCAGAAATGTTAAGCGGGCACTGACATGTACTTGCTATGTGAGTTGTGTTGTAAGTCTGATCATGCTTCATTGTGTCATTCTAAAGTATACACTTGTTTTTGATTTCCTCTAACATAACTATGTAACCTTTCTCTGTGTTCTATGCATGTTTTGGTCCAGGTGAGATGCATTCAAGAGTCTTGGATCAGTCACTAACCTTCAGGTTATACAATGAAGGCTGTTGCACTACCAATATGACTGTGAGAAACACACAGGTATTGTACAAGTGTTCCCTGGTTCACGAGCCCAATATGAGGCCTCTGGTGTATTACCATTACACTCAGGGATAAGCATCCAAAATGTACTAAAATAAAAACCTAAAGGTCGTAGTTTCAGATTCCTCAATCTTCTAACCACCAATATTCTGTGTTGCATGATACAATTAACTTTTAACTGGTTTCTCAAGTTGCGACTGCATCTTCTAATCTAGGTAGATTGAAATGACACATTAACACACTATTTTGTATGAAAATATAAAATATCAGAAAGAAGCTATACAACCGGTCTTTTCTTTTGGTTCAAGTTATGCAAATTGAGCAAGGAGACGCGTCTTTTTCGGCTACCCTCTTAGTTTGGATTAGGAAAAAGAGGTGCAACTTTTATTGTGGAGCAGACGGAGTATTTTTCATCCGCATGGTTATAAGAGTCTTTGAAGATTCTGGAAATACCTTTAGCACAGCAGTAAGTGTTTTTAAATAACGTTCTGGCAAAGATTGCCTGATACTTACTTTTTGTAAAATTGGATGCTTAGCCCTGTGGATCAAATGTAATAGAAATACACGAAAGGTACCAATAGACCACACTTACGAAAGATCATAGAGATGCACACTGGCTTCTTGGTAACATTCATACGTGTGACACTTTCTGAAAGCCCACTGTCTTGACATCACGCTCTACTCTAAAACTGCATTTTGAGTCTGAGAAACTGCCGCTGTTCCTTCCAGAAAAGGAGACCCTCATTAAAATATGCCAAGAAACACAAACAGTAGAACAACTTGACTAAACCTACCAGGGGGGCCCGCGCTCAAAGGCAGCTGAGGCACTCATCTTTTAACTTTAACATCATCAACGCTGTCAAATGAGTCCTTTTTAGCCAGAGATTTTAAAGACAGTTCCGTTTAATGTTGCCTGAGTCAAAAATGTGTCTGAGCGACGCAGATGTATTCGGTTTGATGACAGCACACACAGGGGACCTTGGTGTTATTGATTTGAAATCCAACATCTAAGTCAAAGTTTGAATTGAAGAAAGTGAAGCTTATTTTTCACATTAGCTACATTTTCTGGCAGAACAATAACTATAGTCTGGACCATGGTTCTTTTTTTTACCCAAAAAAAATGAATACAATTGAAGACCTTAAAGCTGTTTACAGGCAGGCAGTCAGTTAGTCATCTGTGAGTAACTACAACCCATGTTAAGCTTTAGAGGAAATACTGTGGCCTGAAGCTATGCTCACACAACTTCACAATACATGTAATGCATGGAGCAACACTTGACACTCATAAACGATGCTGGAATTCTCCGTCATAGCTAGAAACTGATGGGGTTTGTTGGTTGAATTTATTTTTTCTTTTTCTTTTTTAAATATACAAGGTTGTGAACACAGGATGTCAACAACAGGGCAGACTATGCGCTCTGACAAAAACTTCCCTTTCTGAAGCATTCAAAGTGGATAACATTTCACTTCTTATCTCAAGGGTGAAGTCACTTTATTCAGAACTGTCTTTGGTAACTTCTTGTTCTGTGATAAATGGTCCAGATACAGTACATGGCATGGGTCAGTTCGCCCTTGTTGACATGCACGTAAAAGAAAATGACTGACAGGAATATCTTGACATTGTTTGGGCTTACATTAGTTAGAATTAGCTAGATTATGGAAAAGTCACCTGCAATGACTTTAAATTACCACTTAAACTTTGGGTGGAGCCAGGTCTGGCCTGTCTGCATTTCTATGTCACAAATCAAACAGTGATGGTTTCCTGCCTTGTCTTTTCATCCAAACCAGGGCTAAAAGTATACTGTAGGCCTGCACTGTGATGTTAGTCCACTCTTTAAGGGCCTAATGTAACCAAACTATGTGTTAGTTGTGCCTCAACAAACGTATATGTGCATGTACAATGAATTACACTGTCATTTATACAGTCTAATGGATACTTAAGTCATAACTAGTGACCGGGAACAACAGTTTTGGCTAACTTAATAAAAGCCCATCACCAAAACTACTTAAACAACGTGGCGAATCTATGCTGTCGTAAACAAGTGCGTCCCGTTCACACGTTAAGCGGTAACTTTATCTCCTTTAACGACGACGCCAAAACTAAGTTAACGTTAGCAAACACTTACTTAGCCAACAGTTATTTCTGTAACGGGACACTTTAGTCAATGGGCGCTTATGAGAGTACTAAAGTGAAATTCAGCGACATATTTCCCTGCAGTTAGGGGCTCTCATGTTTCTCCGGTGACAGTCTGTCTTCCGCATTGCTCAGCAGCAGACCACCAGGCTAAAAACAGAAACACCAGAGACGCCCAGGGTCCCTTTTGGCAAAACCTGACGGTTCACAATGTCTTATATTTTCAACGCATGACCGAGCCTGGCTCAGCATTAGCTAGCGACGAAGTTAGCTTTGTTAGTATCCTCATGTAACATTAGCACCAAGGCAGCCAAGGCTATCGTTGGAGTCCACGCCCTCATTGTGAACTCCGTCCGAGCTACAGTAAAATTCATATTATAACCCAACAAGGCCGAACAAACTGGAGGCGAGCTCCTCCGACGCTGCGTTTACCAGTCACACGTTAAATCACACCAGTTCTAACACAGCCGATAGTCACACACAGCTTTAAAGCGACACAAAAGTGCTCGATAGTTCCGCTTACCTCGCTTTCTAGGAAATATAACAGAGGTTCAAATCCCACCAAAAAAAGTGAAACTTCTTGATCCCAATTCTGGGAGAGTTGTAGGCAGTGACGTCACGCTCTGAAATTCCAGCCGTCTCAGTCAGTTCACAAGTTTGCCCATGTAAGGCAGCAGGCCAGCGGTGTCACCGAGCCCAAACACCACGGCTCCGCCAGCGCCGCTTTATTTATAGACGGATGTATGGAACGGGAAAAAATGCACAATATAATGTATACAGGAATGCAGTTTCACCCCCTTTTTTCTCTCCCCTAACACTTAAACCCCAGGACTCTGTCTTTAATATGCCACATATGTTGTTAACCAATCGTGTTATTAACTGAAACATGTCAGGAATTGTATATCCTGTTTGTAAAAGATGCACTCTTCAAAACGCAGTCCTGTTCAGTAACAATAACTGTAGTCTACAGTGTAAGCCTTGTCTACCAGATACAGAAATATAAAAATGTAAAATGTGTTACAACTTCACCTCAAACTATGACCTCACAAATGATGATAGACCTCAACACTTCTCTGACGTGTCTCAACAATGACAGTACTAGAGTCATTCCACGTTATGTGCTGTATGTAATATATTTTATTGTTGTTTATACTGTATGCACCAGTGTACTACTCTTAAAGGCGCGGTGTGTAACTTTTAGCATAATCTTTTCTCAGAAATGTCATAGGTATGTTTTGATGAGTGTATAATCACCTGAGAATAATAATTGTTGTGTTCTCATTCCCTTAGAATGAGCCGTTTTTATCAACAGAGGGTCCTCTTCTACGGAGGCCACCATGTTGAACAGCCATTTTTATACAGTAGCCCAGAACAGACAAACAAAACACTGACTATGGAGGGGGCCTTTTATATTTTTCACAAGTTTCACTGCCACCATTGTCTCTCCTACATGCTTAAAAGGCTGAACTGTATTCAAATGGCTGCAGTCTGCAACTTCACCACTAGATGCTACTGAATACTACACACTGATGATATCACAAAGAATATATAATATAATTAATATATAATAATTTCCACATTAAAATCTTTAAAAGTCATCATCTCCTTCTACCTCATTAAAAATTAAATGTTGTTAATTTCTAAAGTTTTCCTGCTGGACACAAGATGTCGCCTACTTCACTGTAAAGTCCATTCTCAGTATGTGTGAACTGGTGGTTTCAAGTTTCTACATCACACTTGTGTAAGTTTTATATTGGACCAGGATGGACATGTGAAACATGCTTCTAGTGTCAAACTCTGCATGTACATCATTCTGCACAGTGAAGCTCAAACACCAAACTGTAGGGTCCAAGAATAATAACTGATTTATGAGTGGAGGGGGACTTTAAAGAAGGCACATTCTGAACTACCAAATGCCACTTAATTCATATTAGGAATACTGATTTCAGTCAAGGCAAATGACTTATGTTGTGTGTTACACTGTATTTGAATTATAAAATTTAATATTACCTTTTTTTATAATTGGTAATCTTTTTTCAAGGTGTCCTGCTGAAAACTCATAATAATTTTGACAAAGGCCTTTGAAATTTCAAGGGGCTGGCTAAAAAGGAAGCAGCTCAGCAAGTGTTTCGGTTTTAACACAGAGCACTCATCCAATGAAGTGTGAATTGCCACATGCTGTAATTTGAACAGATTCAAATTCACAGTCTATGCTGCTATGCTCCCATACGCTGTCATGCACTGTCTATCTTCTGGAACCATGAGAAAGACTTCACTCTGTATTGTCTCTATACCTGTCAAGTAACATCAGAACATAAAGTCAAATCAGACATTTGGCCGGATGTGATTCATACATTCCTTGGTTTGTTTGTTTGTTTATTAGTTTCAGTCATAGTTTTGTACCTCCTCTAGTTAGGTTAGCGAACTTTGCTTTGCATGCATGCACTGCAAATGTGAACAAGGCCTTAGTGCTTGTACTGTGTTTGTCACATAGTCAACAATTTGTGTGAGGTTTTCCATTCTTCATGGTTTCTGTGTTGAGGGAAGCACAGTGTATTTCTGTGGGTGTGAATATGTGAGCTGACGTGTTTGGACAGTCACACTTAAGTTTTTTTTACTTACATGGAATAAGAGATATTTAAGGGGTTGAACAGCATATGGTTGGCTTTAATTAGGGGATCAATTAATCACATTAGTCACCTGCGGACAGGACCCGAACTTGCACATTTGGTGCCCCCACACATTACGGTGAACTGCATTGCAAGGACAATAGAGGGTACTGCGATAAGACCAAACGTTAGCATTACATCTTGGGATAATATTTTTTTAAATGTCACCATAAAAATGAAAAACTTTTTCTGGGCATCTATGTTGGAAGGAAGCAATCATTTATTTTATAACTTCATCATTATGTACTGTGCTGACAGGAAGTGATACAATACATGTCAATCAAACTGACTTTATAATATAACTTGCTATGGTGCAGAGAAAGCAAAATGTATTCTACAAAGATTAAAAGAGAAGCATTAATATTTTAGACGGATTTTGGAGCAGCAGAACAGGATATGGCGTACACGCTAGCTAACAGTTCCCTGTTTACACTTCCAGCAAATAAGGACATCAGGATTTATTTGGAGTTGTGTTTCTGGCCAACTGACAAATATAAGACAGACACTCACTTTCCTTTTAGCTTTGTTTTGGTCTCCGCCAACTTCTGAGGGAGATCACTGGCTGTTTAGCAGCTAAATGCGCCGCTACATTAACCACAACAAAGTTGCAAACTGCTAACTTTGTCTGCCTGGCAATTAAATGGTATACAATCGGTTTATCAGAGCATCTTCACTACAAACAGCTTTTTGTTGAGACTTGAAACGACATCTAAGAGAGTCCTGAGACTGAACCAAACTGGTAAACTTGTATGCCATAAAAATAAAAACGAGACAAAAGTTGTTTCACACAGCCTCGAGAAACTGCCGTTGGGCGATAAATCTCTATGAGTTGGTCACTACAAGCAACCCCTTTCATATTACAGAGTCATTTGACCATTTGTTAACATAACATAGTGATTAGTGAAGTTTTAATGCTGTTTTTGAGTTTTTGGTTTCAAAATCTTCGCCGCCATCCACAAATTATTAGTTTTTGCATTCATTTCTACAGGCCTTACATTGCCTTTTGGAAGAAGATCAACAGCAAACTGAAGAAATTAAACATTCTCTAGTGTGCATACTGACTTTCTCAATATATATTTTTTAAACTCAACTGAACTTTATCAAAATCTGCTTAAAATGAGTATGTAGTATGGAGTTAGCTTACACAGTTATCTTACACCGTGCTAAATAGCAGGCAGTGCGGGGCTGGTAGAGCTGGCACCTAATGTACCGAGTCCTTGCTGCATCCGACCTGTGGCCCTTTGCTGCATGTCATCCCCTCTTTCCCCCCTCCCCTATTCTTTTAATCTTCATTTGTCCTATCAAATGAAGGCAAAACCCCCCAAAAACATTTAAAAAATAGGCACAGGTATAACTTGTTACATTAACAATTGCTCTGTTCCATATATATGTACCATATAAGTCAATTCAGTAAATTAAGTTACTATAATAATTAATAATGTTATGCTTTATGCTTGCGTCTCTTCTGCTATGGCATATTTGACAAGATGTCAACAGTGAAAGGGCCGACATTTTCCGCACCTCTAATCAACATTTGGTTTCTAGAGGCATTCCACATTTTTGGTGAAATGTTCTCCTGCTAAGTATTTGAACAACACTTGAACATATTCTAACTTATAATGACTGAGCTCCTGTGTTTCACTCGTTATCCTCTGCTTCACTTGAATTTGCAGTTGTTCTGCCGCTTCTCGTTGGTCAAAGCTCGACACGCTTCTGATGTTTGACACATGCAAGCCACTATCAGATGTCCAACAAAGCTCTTGCCTCATGTGGGCTTTACCTGACCTCAGTGATCTTTGCTATGCAAACTAGACAATTAGTTTGCATGCTCGCGATTGAATGCAAATATGATAACTGCTTTTTCGCCTCTGATTCTGTTCTCATAGCCGTGTCACAGTGTTGTTCACAGTACTGACATTGTGTGTATTTGCACGTGCCAACGCATTCATATATTGTTGCTTTTATCTCTTATGAATGAAGAAATAAATGATATAATTACTGATTAGTTTTCTATGAGCTAGTTTAATGAAAATATTTACAAGAAATTAAAGCTCTGTCATTATTTTTAGAAGCCAAATGCAAAAAAAGAATAATTCACTCTGAGCTCTATCTTCTAACCGATAATTCTTACTTTACTGCAACTGATTACATTGTGCTCCAAGCTGTGAATATACTTTTTTTCACCATGCATGAAGGAAGCATAAACAGCACTTGCAGATCAAGCACACTGATAAAAACCAAACGATTTGAGCTATTTTAGTGTCGTACTCCTGCATCCCCTCATCTCGAAGTTCCAGGGCACACTGAAAAAGGTAATCTCATTTGTAATGTGTGACAGCTTATTTGCAAGTGTGTACACTGGCAATTTTTTAATGGGCCCGCCAGTGATTCTTCTTCCACTGATTTCAAAAAGACACCCTGGAACAGTTTAGACGACACATGCCATCGCCTGTGAACCCAAGTTATCAATCAAGCACCAATTAACATGCTCGGTTAGAGGAAATCAAGGGCTCTTTGATGTTCGGCAGTCAGGGAGTGTCGCTACGCATGTCATTGATATGATGGGTTTCAATTTTATCCTCACTGTACCAAAACATATGAAAAGAAATGTGCTCACAGCGTCCACCACAATAGATAATTCACATTGGAGATATGTTTGATGTTTGATCCAACTTTGTCACGTTTAACAGAAGTCAATAAAGGCCAGAAAGGACAACCAGAAAAAACAACCTCGTTTGTTATATTTTAGTGTTTCAATTGTTCCAGCATCGGATATCCTGTTTTATTTGCTGGTTGTAACACTGTCTTCTCCCCCACACCACTTCCTCTGAAGTAGGTAAACCTCAAACACTATACACGGCAGCTGCATAGTTGATGTGTACTTCCTCATAAAAGTGTGAGTGAAAGCATGTGTTTTTCACCTACATGCTGAAAAAGAAAACAAAAAAACCAATTGTCTTCTAAATGCAGCTCTCTTAGTTTCAAACCCAGCCCAGTTTTCAGGAATAGATGGCTGACGGTGACAACGTTGACATCATGCAGTATACATCCCGTCATGTGAAACCAAGATGAGTGCAACTTATGTTTTTGTTAATTTGTAGGTAATGCCATTTGGTATCTCACTATAATGACTGTCAGTAGGCAGGCAAGTCCAGGTGCTTTGCACAAAAACAACACGGGGATCTTTGCCGAAAAAACAAAAACAACAAATGTGTCTGGGAACTATGTACGCTCTGTTAATTAGAGCTGAGATAGCAGAGATTAGTCTTCAAGCACAACCATATTACAGAGAGTCATGCCAAATAAGGAAAAACAAAAGTAGGAGACAGGCAGACTCACTACAAAAACAATGTCCCAAAGCTACTAATCAAACAACTCCCAATCTAGATCTAGACCTCAGATTACACTAATGAATTCTAATTCTTATGTTTTAGCATGTAAATATGTATTAAAATGGGAGACGGAGACAATCCCTGCCTACAGCAAAGGTTTTAGCATAAATGATCTGTACTTGTGAGCTTCATGCTGCACCTTTGAAGCATTTTTAAAGCAGCAGGATTTTGTTGCTGTATCCTCAAATCAGTTTTTTGGGGGTTTGCCATTTAACATGGCATTTATTTTTTTTCAATGAACATTATCAGCTTTCTTACCTCTGAGGAAGATAGATTCAGCTGGCTCTGTTCCTCAGCAACCACAGAGTAGCTGAGCGCTTTGTCTGGTTGATATTATCAACCAAAAACCTGGACGACACGTGCAGCCGTCCGGACGGCGTGGTTGCAGAAATGATATAAAACACATCTTAAAAATGAATCACTACGTAGTTGATCCATTCTGAACCAAAAGCCCAGCAAAGAAGTATTTACTGTAGGAAGCAGAGGCCTGCGGGCTGGACAGGCACAATAATTTCAAGTGTTGGATGCAGGGGAGGTCTAGTGTTTCTTGAAATAAAAATCAATTACCATTGCAGTGTTGTTTAATCTGTTTTAGCTCTGTAGTGTGAGACATTTGGAGATTTAAAGCTAGCCTTTTGCTATAACTTTAGTACTGCTGAACAGTGGCTGTTGCAGCCACAGTGACAATTTCAGGATAATGGGAAAATGTAGTGTACCGGCAGCACAGAGCAGTATCAGTAATTAAGTCAGCAGTCTCAGTAATCAGGGGCGTGTCGGGGGGGTGGCACTGGAAATATGGCCACCCCAAGTCTCACCCCATTATCCTTACCTCTGACACTCCACACTGTCTTTCAGAGGCTCTAGATGACCTAACACATCCATTGCTACCAACCATGTCATACTTGCATGTCAGGAAGGGGACTAAATAACGCTCCAAATTCAGGCTACGTTTTTGCCATCTAAAAACTGGCATTGCCATTTTTAAAGGCATCCTTTGACCTTTGACCTTTGAGCTTAAGATATGGGAATGAAAACAGATTATATCATACACTTTATGCTAATTCCATGCTGTTTTGTGTTTCATACCAGGACAAAGAAGGCTGTAGCAGCAAACTACAGTGAGTAGTACACTGAGTGTATTAAATTGAACAAAGGGGGCTTTTATTGCTTATGAATTAAACTTTTTTATTTAAAATGTGTTATTGCTACTTTCATAAGTGACTTGGTCTAACGTATATTTTACCTCAAAGTGATTAGACAAGAACATAATATGAATAATTGCGCAGTATTTAGTATTTAGGATATCTGCCTTCCAAGGATGCAACACTGTTGACTGCTCCCTAAAAGATTCTGTTCTTATTACATTAGAAAAAGTAAGTTCTAAGATCCCAACTGGCTCTTCATCAGATATAGAGGTATCCTTTGTGCATAACATATACCAAAATGCATGCAGAAAAAAAGACAGAGAGAGACAGAGAGGAGAGAGTACAGCCTGGACAAGATGTTCAACATGTTCAAAGCAACAACTCCCAACAGATTCATTTTCTCCACACCAAACTAAGGCTTTGAATTCAGTGTATCAGTTCCTGAAGGTTTGTTTTCCTGCTCAGGATGCAGAGATCCTAATTGTTTTCTTCTCTGTTCCCGTATGAGGTGAAGACAACGAGTGGACCAGCATCTTCGGACTGTAAACCATGCTGACATTCCTGTGCTGAGAAACTACAAACATACAAGGGAGACATTCCTAAAATCTGAGGGCTGTCAGACTGCACCCAACCCGCAAACACACAAACGATGAATTCCTGCACTACAGCTTGTACCAATGAATAAAAAATAAAGTGAAAGTTCAGTCTCACCAAAAGACTGTCATCATTTACCTTAAAAGGACAAACAGATGTTAATTTAGCCAAGTATTCTAACATGATGCCACGGTTTGTTTATCATGTTTAGTTGAAAAGCCTGCTAAATTTGATAGTTTCCTCCCAGCAACAAACATCGTTAATTATTCATACACTGTTTGTCTACAGTAAAAGAATAGCAAAGCAAATACAAAATCAAGTCATTTGCAAATAATTGATAAGGCAGAGACTATGCTAAATCAAAAGCAAAGTGTAAGGTTTTAAAAGGCTGTGAGTGTAGATGATCATTCTCTGAGAGACTGAAGCTGGATAAGCAATACATTATTTTATAGAACGGAGGGCCGGGTGCTGCATGTCACCTCAAAGCAGGAAGGTTCTGGGTCCTTTCTGTGAGGAGTTTGGATGTTCTCACCATGCCTGCGTGGGTTTTCTCCGGTTCCTCCGGCTTCCTGAAGGTTCAACCGGTTACGCGTGTAAGCTGTGTCTAAAGTTTTAAATGAGGAAATTATCCGTTAACCCTTACTGCTGCTAATGTTATGTTGTTGAATTAACGTCAGCTAGATTCTGGAAGTGATAAACCGAGGCATAATTGAGGTAGTGCATCCAACTGGTGGCATGGTATTGAGACTCATTTGAGAGCTTGTGCTACTCTCATTTTTCTTTTGGTTGAAATTCAAGAAATGAGACACCTGTAAGACAATTTAGAGGATTTACACATTGAGCACTGGTAGACTGAACCATGTTGAGAAAATGCACATAATCTGTCTTCGGTCTTCACTGGTCTTGACTGTTTTTGTCTTGGAGGTGTAAATATTAAATTTGAGTCCATGAGTCCATATATGTCTAAGAAGGGACAAGAGATATTATGAAATTGTGCAAAGCTAACGTTAGCTTGTTGGTTAGCTTAGACAATGATGGAGTCATTAGTTACTTCTGGCCATTTCGAATTATAATATGTTGGTATTAACTGACAACATTACATTATCCATGGATAGGGTGGCCATTCGTCCGGCTTTAGACAGACAGTCTGCAGCCTTAAGCCTGACACTCATTTGTCCTCCTTTTGAGAAAATAACTAAAACAGTCCGCCTTTTGACACATTACCTCATTAGTTTAATACTTATTGGCTAAAAATGTCTGTCAAAATAAATAATTTCATTGGTTACATTTTCGTGTTGTGACCTGCCAACACATGGCTCATTTTAATATTCAAATGAGCCATGTGTGCTCACTGCAGTTGCTAAGTTACCACCAGGCTGTCAATCAAGCTCTCAGCAGAGAAGGTAAGGTGAGCTAACATCAGTTGTTGGACTGAAATTCTGAAAATGCTCATACTCATATGTAAAGGCAAATCCCTTTATCCCCAGATAAAACATTAAGAACAGTTTCTGTATGATGTTTATTAGACCTATGTAATCTGAATTGGAAGGGCAGTTGTCATGAGCTGTATCTTGTATATTTATTATTAGCTATGTGGTATGTGTATGCACCTTTATGTAATCTGGTGGAAAAACATTAAAATTTAAAACCGGATCATACCAAACAAATATCTGCTTGCGTGTCTGTGTATGCAAAGTGTCCTCCTTTTTGATGTGAAGCAAATGGCCACCCTGTCCATGGAAAGAATGGATTAGTTTCTGTGTTTCATACTTGGCACACAAGTGCTGACACTGCTAACAAAGTCTTATGTCCCAGGCTATTATGTCCAAGTTGAGGAGAATTCAGCTATATTTCAGCTCCAAGAAGACACTTACAAACTAGTTTTAAGCAAAAGTGTGTTTTTCACACAGCATGGTTGAAAATGAAATACAATAACAACTATCTATTTGACAATGGCAAAAAATAAAACATGAAATTCGGGATCTGTTATAGCCACGCAGTAAAAAGTATTTTTTCTGAGTGGCCAGACTTTCCTTTACGGTCTTCTTTATGTAGCTGTCTGCATTAATATTGTTTGGATAATTTCATAAAATAGGAAGACAAAAACATACTTGCCTTTTGAAACATGAACGCTGAATTTGATCTTTGTTTGAGTATTTGTTCTTTCAATAGATTACTGACACAATGAAAAATCACACCTGAATGCCTCAAACACATTTTATTCCTGATACTGAAAATAACACTTTGTGTATACTCGTTTTTTATAGCGTTTTTGCTGAAGAAAGGCAAACCTAGAAAATCTATGACAAAGCTGTCACTTAGAATCATCTGTTATATGTAGCCCATGTCTCTCTCAGAAGTATATTTTCTCTTCACTCTATAAATGCTATCTAATTCAAAGCACAATATTAGGCACTTATGACCTTTATTAAAGCTGATAGGAGCCGCCAGGGAGCCCCATGTTGGTACAACAAAGGCTAGTAGTGGAGCTAGATTACAGATCTACGTGATAGCAGGTAAGTATAAATGACAAGCAAGCATTATCCTTCACTGATGTGATAATTACCTGCAGTCTACTGCCTCACAAAGGTTATCATACACGCAAACAGCCCGGAGTCGCTCCAGGAAACTGCATCTACGCAATAAAGCAGGTTGTCTGAGATCTGTGATTTCAAATCCATAAGTGTTAAAAAGAATTCAAGTGACAAAGACACATTCGATAGACTCATTGATTAATAATCTATAAATTCAGGCTCACGCATTCCCAGAGGTTTCATTTTGATTAAATGTTTTCTTGGAAAAGAAAGTAGGTACTGGTGCAGACAGTGCAGGGTCACTCTCTTCAACTTCCAGACTATTTTTTTTTCAGACCCTGCTGATATGAATTACTGTCTGCAAGGCATGCTGTAGAAAGCGAGGATGCTGTGAATCGCTGATCTTATGTGTCCATGGGAAAGGCCAAGCCAGAAATACAAAGTCTGCCTGGACTTTAAAACCCGTAAAAATAAACACTTCATGAAATCAAATCAAGTTTGCATCTAGAAGGTTGCAACGAAAAAAATCGTCCTTTTTAAAGAATTTGGTTGATCCCTCTTTTGTTAATTTGATGCAGGCCGAAATTACATCAGATGACAGCATAATCCGACATCATTATCAACATCAAAATGTTTGGCCCGGGGGCCGAAGGCAGCGCAGCCTCTGTAACGGGATGATATGGATTAGCCTACACTTTGCAAACCGACCTTGCCCCCCTCTCATTTTTTATGCCTGCCAGTCAAACACAGAGATGACCGCATGCATTGCATCGCTGCCGAATAAAACCCAAATATCCCTCTGATGATTAAGGTCACTCATACACTGCTCTACAGAAGCCATCCTCTTATAAGCCCCAGAGTGGGAGTGGGGGGTCGATGTTTTGGACTCCAGTCAGTGTCCAGTCTTTATTGTTATTTCACTTCAGCCCTGCCCAGGTTCTTTTCTGCCTCACTGTGGCTGCCGGTGACAGTAAGAGGACAATAATACAGTAATCAAAGTTTTCCTCTAAGGCAGCGTGACCTGTTGTTGGCTTTCATTTGTGTGTCATTTCAGAGGTTTAAGCTTCTTCATGAGGAGTTTATCCCTGGATCACAGGGATCTGAGGGCTCACCGGTCATTTGCCGTCGCTATCCCAAGAGCTCAGATTGTTGGGTCTGCTTTATTCTAAAATATGATGGAAATGTGTTGGACTAATTTGGCTTTAGTAGGATTGGCTGAATATTAGTCCACTCATCCAATGGATTATCCCATGGCTGCGATGAACATACTGTACAGATCTGTCAAAAACCCCATATATCTATATATATATATATATATATATATACATATAATTTTCCTCCAGTGTTTGGTTCTTCTTGTATAAGTGCACATTCTGATGCATTCATCTCTCATTTCTCTGTAATGATGACAGCACCATCGTAAGCAACACAGTGCCTGATGCTGACACAGTAAAGCTGTGCAGCATGTAACGCTGTTAATAGCAAGAGCTTTGGGAGTTCTTACCCGCTGAGGTGAGCTTATCTGCACAGACAGCATGTGTATTCATTTAATCTGAGTTCAACATCAGGTGTCAAGAACGATTACACACCGATACCCATGCTCACTGATACTCTTACATTAACACTATGGATTTGTGTGCAGGAAGGTGCTTTATCCCTGGTGTAAGTGTTTTGCTTTTGCAGCCAAAAAATAAAAATGATTACATTTTGATTACATGCAGATATACTCTTATTATATTAGATATTGCCACCATTTTTAGTGAGAAAAAAAATTAAATAATAATAATAATGTAAAAGTGATATTAACATTTTCCCCAAATATTGTTGTACTGTTTTCAGGATTTTCCTCCCTAATTTTCTGTCCAGCAGCCACATTACTGACCTTCCTATTGGCTGTGCCAGGTTGAAGTGACAGCTGGTGTGATGTAATAACACCCCCTCCACTAGACAAGTTATAAAGAGCAATATCTAGTTCCATGGATTGAGATAAGCTTAGGTAGATTAATGCTCTAGGACACTGAAATGTTTGTTGTATAAAAGCACTGTTTATAAAACAATGTGTCATTGCCGTATATGAGAAACTCTGATCCGGCAGATGGCCTGAGCTCCAAGAGTTCCTCCATGTTAAAGGCACTGTTAGTCTATGGTTTGTGCTCCTGAGGCTTAATGGGATTTTAGACTCTTCATTCAAATGAATTATATATAGAAAAAACTGGGATTATTTTACAGGCTGTTTAATCTCTTCTTTTTTTGTGCCAAAAACTGAGCCTGCCCCAGAGTTTTAGCATTCGTGGAAAAGTAGAGCGAACGAGTGCTACAATCAATGAACGCTAGAGTGCAGGCGGCCTATCAGCTCAGAGAGCCAGAGATGCCCTGTGGACCGTTACACTAACATGGAGCGTGCTCAGTCGACTTGACTCACTTCAGCCTCGCTGCCGCGCCCGCCTTTCCAGAAGCATTCCCATCCTGCTGAACAATGACAGACACGAGGCTTCACCAGAGCTGCTCCGCCACCGCGAGACACAGATCCTGTGCCCTTTTGCACTGAAGACAGCTTCATCCCTCCAGCTT